ACAAAATCAGAGTGGTCACCTGACTGTGCTGGCAGGCACTCAGTCACAGGTAACAGGAAGCCTCTGTCCTCACTATATTGCCAAGTGACCTGAGCCAGATCGGGTTTCCTGGGCCACCTGGACAAACAAAGGCAGAGGGCCAGAGCAGTGAGGGCAGTATCTCAGTGATGCTTGGCATCATAGTTGATGGGAAATAGAAGGAACAAAAGAGGGAATGAAGGGGAAGGGAAATCTTTGAGAAGTCTCTTTATTTGGTGTCCTCTAAGTTTCATCTCAAAGCACTTTTTAAAAAAATCAAAATGCAGACTTCCCCAAAGTCTAGTTGCACTGTCACCCTCACACTCAATATATAGATAAATATAGAGGGAAATAATCACTGGGAGGAAAATTAAGGTTTGGGTCATACATCAGCTCTGCTTAGCTGGCATCCGAACACATAATTCACATCGCTGAAAAGGCTCCAGTGGTTGCTTACCAATTACAGATCAATTACAGAAAAGGCTGTAACTTTATTAGAAGTATAATTTGGAAATCCCGTAAACACTCAGGATTTAAATCCCACTTACTGAATGGTCAATGCATAATAATTAACCCATGTGTGAAATTAAATTCAACCACAAGGAAAACAACATATACATGTTGTTTTAAATTCCATCTTAAGCCTTTCCAAGAAAACCACATGCTGAAGGATCAAAATGCAAATTAACTAATCTGACTCCAAACCGACAACATCCTATCCTAAGGAAAATTACGCTAGCATTCATCATCTGCCTAATATAAAATATCCAAATGTATATATTCATAGCCCATTAAAAGAAAGAAATTTTCTCTAATATTAGGTTAATGTTTAAATTTAAAAATTTACTACTCAATATACACAGCCATTGAGCATTTGTATTGTTTTACATTTGTCTGAAGCTGCTTAGGACCTACTGCTACTGCAATCACCATTACCTGCTTGATTCACGTAATACCTGGTGAGCTACCTGCAGGAAAATCTACCTTTCTTCCTCCCAGACTCCTTATCTCCAAGATGTTATCTAATCAAGAGAGTGTGGATGACCCTGGAAAGTCCATCAAAACTAAGTCAAGAGCTATCAAACCACAATCCTATGAACAGGGTAATGTTTCCACACAGGAGAAAAAAAAAAAAAAGCTTTTTCCTTGCTATGTCTGATGAGATATTGTAGTGTAAATTGGTCTGTAAAGGATTGTAAGGAAATGTAGAGGAAACCTCACCACCTTCTCATACCAAATTTATACTTCAAGCCCCCTGTCATTCAAACATAAACTCTCTTATTAGAGAGCAGGAAAATCCACATATCTCCTTTGAAAGTGCATTGAGTTTACTACAGAATTAAAATCCATGAAACGAGCTTCCTTAATTAACAGTTTTGCCCAAGTTAGCAGTGAACCGAGACAAAAGCAGAGATTTCTGGCTAAGAAAAGCAGCTTTGTAGTTTTGCTCCCCTCCTTCCTCCCTTTGGATAGAAAGGCTGAAGAAGAGTGTAAAAGGGTGGGGATAATAAGTGCTTAGCCTACTCCACGTCTTGAAGGAAGGTGTTCTCTACCTGAGGCAAGAAAGCTCTGACATTCCTTGAAAACTCCACTGCCAGGAGCTGCTGCAAACTGGGGTTTTTGTCCCTAATTTGTAGAAAAGCTCACTTGGCTGTCAGTTCCTGCTCCTCCCCATTTCTCACCACCTTCTCTTTCTTTAGTGGCCTTCATAAAGTTTTCTCTGGGCACTGCCTTCAGCTTTAGAAAACCAACAAATCCCTTCTCTGCCTCATCTTAAGAGATTTACAAACTTATGTTCTCATTTCATGTTCATGGACTATTACAAATAACATACTTTATCATCTTTTACACACAGTAATGTATATTCATAATGATTCTCGAACTGGAGAGGGATCATTACAAAGTATCACGGTCTGAGGAGTGGGCAAGTTTTTGGTGGGTGAGAACTTTTTAATGTTTTCCAACTTTTAGAAATTTTGATTAAGAAATGATATCTCACCTTTTGTCCAACATCTTAGCGAGGCTGTGGTGGTAGCAACTGCTCTCAGAACTTCGTTATGCGCCCAAGGATGAAGAGAAGAAGAAAGAGGCCGGAAAGTCGGCCAAGAAAGACAAAAGACCCGGTGAACAAATCTGGGGGCAAGGCCAAAAAGAAGAAGTGGTCCAAAGGCAAAGTTTTGGGACAAGCTTAATAACCTCGTCTTGTTTGACAAAGAGACAGATGACAAACTCTGTTTTAGTTCCCAACTATAAGCTTATAACCCCAGCTGTTGTCTCTGAGAGACTGAGGTTCCCTGGCCAGGGCAGCCCCTCAGGAGCTCCTTAGTAAAGGGTTTACTAAACTAGTTTCAAAGCATAGAGCTCAAGTAATTTACACCAGAAACACCAAGGGTAGAGATGCCCCAGCTGCTGGTTGAAGATGCATGAACAACAGGTCTTACCAATTGTACATTTTGAAAAAAAAAAGTCTATTACATCAAAAAAAAAAAGAAAAAAGAAATTATATTTCATATATGATTCTATAGGCGATGTTAAATTCTCCTCTTTTAATGAAATTGAAATTATTTTTCACCATCATTCTAATAAAAATACTTTCAAGATATGAACACTTTTTAAATGATAGTCCTTGAGCACCGTTGTTTAATAGGCCCAACTAATTTACTTTCTTCATTGGTCTTTTTTATACTTCAGTGTAAACTCCTTTAGACAGGAATATGTCCATTTTAATGGATTCTGACCAACAGGTAGTGAAGACTGTCCTTTTACATGTAGACATGTAGCAATACTTCCATAGGAGAATACTGGCTAATGTTTACTTTGAGTTTATTGTATGTCAAGTATTATTCTAAGAACTATAAATGGGATCAATTGATTAATTCCTCATAAGTTACTATTATGAACCCCATTTGACAGATGAGGAAATCGAGGCACGAAATGGTTAAGTAATCTGCATAAATTAGAAAGTTTGGCAGTGGCTAGTAATAAAAAGAAAAACTAACACGGCGTAATCTTCATTTCTTTAATAATTTCCTCAACAGCTAAGCAACTTTCTCTAGAAAGGCATATATTCTCCACACATATAGTCCCTCAAAATCAGATAATAGTGAAGCAAAAATAAGAGCTGAATTCTTCTTACTGGATTCAGATCTAGAAGTCCAGTTTCCTAATTTCTAGTTCATTTGTTAGCACAATACCTTTCCAGCTCTTGAAAATACTTACGCTGATTGTATTTCAAAATAAAGCTGACTAGATATTGTTCAAGTATTTTAATCTTTATAATTTAAATAGTCTCTGGTTACTAGAGGTAATTTTGTTTATCGATACTGATAACATATGATTCTTTCTTACAAGTCTGCAACAGAGAAAATTGTGTGTAAAATGTAAGGGATTTAAGTGGGAAAAATTAAACTCAAACATCTTTTTAGGTGAACTCTACTGACTCTCAAAACTTTCTGGTCTACAGCCATGCCACCCTGAATGTGCCCGATCTTGTCTGATCTTGGAAGCTAAGCAGAGTCGGGCTTAGTAAGTACTTGGATGAGAGCCCACCTAGTAATATCAGGTGCTGTGGGCGTTAAAAAAAAAAAAAAAGACTTTCCAAACCCATGTTCTTGGCAAATAAATTTTGCAAAAATGAAAAATGAATTTATTTGAAATTTCTCTATAGGGATATGATGGAAACATAAGTCATCTGTGGTCATAAACAATTAGAAGTTGAAAGTGAGTTCTGTTTCTAAGTATAAAAAAAATTAAAATCACTCATAATCCCACCATTAAAAATCCTTACTCAACATTTTAGCACATTTCCTTCTATGTTTTCTTTTCCTGTTTTTTTTGTTTTTTGTTTTTGTTTTCTTAAACATAGTAAATAGGCT